GCCCCACGACCGAACCCCCCCCCCAAAAAAAAAAAAACTTGGAAATGACCAAAAACTCAGTGTCAAGAGCTGGTCCTTCACACATAGTCATATTCAATTAGGCATGGTGGCACCCACCTGTAATTCCAGCACTTGGGAGGCTGAAACAGGACAAGACTACTGAATTCCAGGCCAGCCTGGAACAACAACAAACTCAAAGTATGAAACAAAAGAAAAACCAACTACACACATTAGTATAAATACTATATTTATTAAATATCTTTACAGTTTATTTAAATGTATTTACAGAACTATTCCTGCATAAGTTATATTTCAGACATCCAATTCAGGTAACTGCCTCTTGGGTAAGACAAATAATGATAGTCTCAACAGAAAAAAAGCAGCTTGTTAGTACACACAGACTCAACTTTGCTCACTTCCTACCTAGGCATCTTGCCATGCACTACCTGCGAAGTTACATTTTCACATGGACACTGGTTTTAGTTGAGAAGTTCAATTTTGCAACCGACTGAATTAAAAAAAAAAAAACAGACTCCAAATGTTTTCTGCTTCATATTTTGTTTTCTAAGCAGGTTTTGTTTTCTGTGGTATTGTAAAATTTGTTAAATGCAAAAATGTGACTCGGTTTCCAGAGAAACTGAATGCAGCAGCTCCATCAGCGAAAGCTGGAATAGGGTGACAAGGACCCGGAAGCTGGTGCTGGGTTCTCCAGTGACCACACACGGTCCTGCCTTATAACTGATGTGGCAGGCTGGCAGGCGGTGCTGCAGTGATGCCTCTGCAGGCTACACTGCCTGAAGAAGGGCAGCTGCAGGAGAGGTCGGAACCGAGTTTCTCGTCTAGGCCCAGCCCAGCCCCAGACACACACAGGGAATAGATGCTTATTCATTACCACCAGTCTCACACCACAGGCATGAGTTCAGTGACTCAGGACAAACTACTTGCTCTCCCCCACTTCCTTTCTCCTTTCAGTGTTTTAATTAAGAGCCTGTCCACTCTCCCCACCTTCTCTCCATTTGGTAATTCTTTTTTTTTTTCTTTTTTGTTGTGCGCAGGCAGCTTAAGTTCACAGGAAGAAATAAGTTTCTGATATGTTTAGAGTGCACATTTTAAAACAGAACAAAATAAAAATTTCAAGCATGTGATAAAAATATTGATTTGTATAGTACAGTATTGCTTTATAAATATAGATGGAAAGCTATAAACTTTATGGGTCTTTGGTGCGTCCAAAGAGGGATGTATAATTTGCCATTTGTGAATTAGAAATCCAAATTTTCTCTTTTGTTATAAAAGTCCAGTACATGAGGCAAATGCGTGTGTCTACACGGCTTGATTTAAAACAACAAACACACATAGGTGCAGAATTAATGGGGCCAAGTGACCCTGCTGGGCGCACGGCTGAAGCCTGGGTGGGTGACTTGGAGCCGCCAGGGCTGGCCAGGGCCTCGGCCCCTTGGAGGACACTCACTCTGCTGGCCCGGGGCAGTCACAGTAAGTGCTTAACAAAAAGGACAGGGCTATGGAGAGAATTCCCCCTCACTAACCCACAGGCCAGGTCCAAAGTCAAGTCCACTGGGAAACCCAGTTCTTTGCCCCTGTTTTTCAGTGTCACTGGAACCACACTGTCGATTTCTAACAATCATTGCTCAGAAAATAAGTTGATTAAATAAGTTGTGTAAAACACCACTAATCTAGCTTTACAAAGATTGTTTGATGGGTAAAATGGGAGCAGAGAAAAGCCAGTAACTTGACCAGCTCTCTCTTACCAGAAATTAAATGTCAGCATTGGAAAATTAATGGAAAACATATCCAGATCGTAAGGCTACATACATCTGAGCAAAAATAATTACAAACCCAAACAAAAGAGGTGAAGTCACCAGTCCTAGTGTGAAGCTATTCCTTTTTACAAACCCCTCTGGATGCAACTTTCTTTTCCTTTGAAACACAGAGACTGCAAACAGTTTGTGCAAAATAAATACCCTACCACTTGCCACGGAGGCCCGTCTGATGAAAGCAGTCTCCAACCCTACCCACCTCCTCACCAAAGATTCTGTTCTGTCAAGTTAGGGTAGTTAAGGCATTCTGACATGTAAAGGTGATTCAAAATAGATATCTAACATTATGCCAATTTAGGAATAGTAGATAAATTACTGAACGGCTTACAAATGAATAACTCATTCTTATAATGAAATGCCTGTTACAAGCATGATGCATTGAAATATAGTAATGACATGTACATGGTACATGTTCAACAATTTAAATAAAACAAAAGCTTGACAGTTACTCAAATATACAGTACAAATTCACAAACAAAATCTTTTAAAACACACTGAGGTAACCTCAAGCTAAGCTCTAATGCCAGCGGCTTCCTCCACACTCTTGGCAGGCCTCGCTGCGTTCGCATCTGTACACCAGCCTTACCTGACATATATAAAACATGGCTTTAATTTAAGGATTCTAAGTATATATATATTTCTACCACCAAGTTAATGAAGGGGGAAAAAAACGGACCCAAAAATATATGTCTTTACATACAACTGTCCACTTGTATACAACCTTTTAAAAATAAGTTTGCGCTTGCAGGTAAGGGAAACCAGCGGTGGTTTGGAGGGGACTATACACGGCAAAATGGCTCTTCGGAAACTGTAAACATTAAGCTTGATTCAGAAACCCTCCCTTTTGCCCAGGGTAACAGCACAGGTCAGGTTATCGCCAGGAGCTTTCCTGTGGGCTCAAGGGGCAAGGCGCATGCGCTGAGGAAGCCAGGCTCCCAGGGAGGCCGAGCACCCTCCACAGCACCACAGCCCCCCAAAGCCAGTGTGTAGCTCGAGCTCTGGCTGCTGTCTCAGCCCACGAGGCCTGGGCACCCTCACAGACGGGGGTTGTGAGGGTACGCATGTGGATTTCAACTACAACATTAAACTTGTAGGCTTTGAGAGGTTTCATAATCTTGAGTACTATTTCCATTTAAAAATTCAGGTATGGAGTCTCCCCTGGCCACCACCAGCCTGTGATTTGGACTAACCAAAAAAATGCCAAAACTTAAACCACAGGAATACAATTAAGCATCTTTTAAAAAGCATGGAGTATTTGTAACTACAGACCTAAAATTTAAATTTTCTTCCAATTTGAGATATAGCAACCCGGAGCTGTTTCAGAGCAGGGTTCTAAACTCCAGGTGAAAACACCAAGCCATATCCAAAGTGAGGCCTGCCGCACTCAGGTGACACACAGTGTATGCTCCTAGTAGACTTATCATTACATATGAATGGTGTAAGACTTAAAATTCCTTTAACACACTGTAATTTTGAACCCACTTTGCCAACATTACTCATTTAACTGCTTTCGAAAAGTAAGAGGTTTGGAACCCCTCCCTCCTTAAGAGGCGGAGGCCCCCTTCCCGTTTGCTCCCTGCAGCTGCTGCCCACTGGCACAGCAAGTGAACGACAATAGTGGTTCTCAACAAAGACCTCAGGCGCTGGGGCAAATGGGCCAGGCTTGCGTCACACTTGATCACAGGCCACTGCGGTCTCCCGCCAGCAGGATCAGCGCACAAGGCTGGGGAAAGTGAGGCGGCGACAGGAAGGACAGGAGTCACAGCTCGGCCGGTCAGTCTGTATACTCAGCCACGATAGACAGGAGGACGGTGATGTCATCTGGCTTCCCACCTGAAACACCAATGAGAATCTATCGGCATGCTTCCAAAGAAGCCCAGCAGAAATGCCAACTCCATGAAAAAAGACGTTGGGTTGAAGAATTTTTTTAAAAAAGGTCAATTCCTGCTAATAGACACTATTGAGAATTATTCACATTTGTTTATTTTGAAATCTGTCATCTGGGAAACAAACTTTTGGGGCTGGGAATGTGGCTTGCCTAGCATGCAGAAAAAGCCAGAAGTAACGCTGTGGCTCATGTGGTAGAGGGCTCGCCTTGATCAAAAGCAGCTCTGGGACAGTGCCCAGGCTCTGAGTTCAAGCCCCCAGGACTGGCTAAATAAATAGATAAATAAATAAATGATAAAGACAAAGAAAAATACCGTAAGTCCCAGGAATACGAATGCAAGTGCTTGTATTTCAGCAGGGTTGGTGCACCAATATTCCCCATCAGAAAAGAAGAAAAAATAAGCATGATAAAGACAATAGATGGGTGATTTAATTGAAGCTTTCCTGCTACCTTAGAGCAGGCAGTCTATGGAAAGGGCTGCCTCTCTGCCTGTGTGTTCAGAAAGGATACATGAGGTGACTCCAGCTGACCAGGGCTGCACACACCTTGCATGGCTGCGTTGAAGCATGAGCTCGGTCCTGACTGTCCCACAGTGCGCACAGCTACACACAGGGGCACAGGAGACAGGAGGGCTGCTCAGGGCAGCCTCACACTTTCAAAGTCTGCTGGGGCAACTGGGCAGGCAAATGATGCCACACCCTGCGGAGCCACAGGAAGCCACATGGGGCTGGGAGCTCTCTCCCCCGCTGGCCTTGCTCAAAGGCAATCAGGGCTGGAAAGGATCATCATGTTCAGCCCAGCCACCACCAAGTCCCAACTTAGTTCCTAGACTCAGCCACGGAATGCTTACCTCTCACATTCAACCCGTTGTCACATGCAAACTGTGCAAAAGGTGACATGTAATTTGGGTCATAGGCTAGCTCGTGCGCTTGCTCAGCAATGCTCCTCGCAGTCTGCTGTATACTCTCATAATTCGAATTCTAAGATGAAAGGACACAGAGTTACTTTCACCAGAATGCCTTGTGTGACCTCTGCACGCAGGTGGACTGCACAGCAACGTTTATCTCCACATTATTTGCTTTACTTTGAACTAGGATTTAAACTGAAGGCCTTGTACTTGCCACCCAAGTGTTGACCACTTGAGCCAGGCCTCCAGTCCAAAGCACATTTTCTGCCACTTAAGTCTCACTTTAGAGAAGATGTGATAGATAGCACCAGGTCCTCTCTCCTACTGCCTGCCCACCCTGAATAGGAGGTTATCTGCTGTGGTAGTCTTTGGCCTTGAAATCTTCATGCTTTGTGGGTGGGTTTGTCAGTCGTGGGGCCTGAACTCTGGGCCTGGATGCTGTCCCTCAGCTCTTCAGCTCAAGGATCTACCACTTGAGCCACAGCGCCACTTCTGTTTTTCTACTTATACGGTGCTGAGGAATCGAACACAGAGCCTACTGTATGAGAGGCAAGCACTCTACCACTAAGCCACCTTCCCAGTCCTGTTTTGTTGTTCTGTGCTAATACCAGGGCCTAAACTCAGGGCCTTGCACTCTCACTTGACTGTTTTGCTCTAGTTGGCGTTCTACCACTAACCACAGCACTTCCTGAAGTCTGAATTTTGATTTTTTACTTTCTCACTTGACATGCGTCAGTCATCCTTGCTAAAATGGGGTGGAGGGACAAGTGACTTCTCAAGCCCCCTGCTGGGGGTGTGCCCCAAATTCTTAAGAGTTGCTGGGTTGGGCTGGGAAGGTGGCTCAGTGGTAGAGCGCTTGCCTTGCATGCTCGAGGCCCTGGGTTCGATTCCTCAGCACCACATAAGCAAACAGAAAAAAAAGCCGGAAGTGGTGCTGTGGCTCAAGTGGTAGAGCGCTAGCCTTGAGCTGAAGAGATGAGGGACAGCACCCAGGCCCAGAGTTCAGGCCCCACGACCGGACCCCAAAAAAAAAAAAAAGAGTTGCTGGGTATCCTACAGAAGGCACTTTTAGGGCTTTATACCGTGAGCAAAGATTCTGCTCTGGCTATGTCCCTTTTCTTGACACTTCAACCTCTTCAGCACAAACTGGAGGTAGGAAATGAAATGCGGTTCAGCTCTGAAACAAGTTCTAAATCCTTTTCGTCTAAGTATTACTAGGTCTCGGCTTCAATTACTAGGTCTCGGCCTCCTTATGGAGGCCTCCCTGAGCAATCAGAAGGGGCAGTCCCCTCTACTTTTTAGTCCCTTCCCTTATGGTCTCCAATCACATTAATTCATCTATTCATCTCCCCAGTAAGGGTTCCCCTCTAGGCAATTGTGAACTCCACATGGGTGGTGCCTACACAGCTTCTGCTTATCACCTGCCACCACAGGGAGCACCAAACAGCACAGCCCTGAGACTAGACCTTACTCTCCATTTTACAAGTATGGAAAGGACTCCTTGGGCAGCTAAGAAGGATCAGAAGAGGTGGAGAAAGATTTGTTTTCCCAGAGTCAGCACTTTCATAAAGCTAGGACTCTGGAAGGTCTGGCTTCCACCGCCTGTGGCTCTGCTCTGTATGAGTCTCAGCTGCCCTTCTGCTGTGGCTCCAACCACCTGGGTTCCCCAGCCTTGCTACTTGCTGTCATTCAGCCTCGGCACCTGCTGGGTGTCCAGGGAATATAAAAGAAAAAAGAGTAGACAAAAAGAATAAAAGGAGAAAGAAGCCAACACCATTAAAATACAAGAAATGGCTTCTGGACTCTTCCTACTTAGACACCCTGCTGAAGACTCAAGTGAAAAGCCACTTTCCCCTCCATTTCTCTTAGGGACATTTCCATTACAATTGCTTGGAATATTAGGGATATTGTTTACCTAAAGTTCACAAAGCAGTACTTTCCAAAACTACACAAAGACAAAGAACTGATTCAGTAAAACCCAATGCCCAGAGAGGGGCTATTCTTGAGAGGGCTAACCTTGAGTGGATTACCTTTAACTTCTTTAGCTCCTGGAGGATCATATAATCAGGCATATTGTCAAAGAGTCCATCTGTTGCCGTCAGAATAATGTCTCCTAACTGGACATCGAATGATGTGCTATCAGCAGCATCCGGGCTGTGGCAAAAACAAGGAAGCCATTTTCATAATGTAATAAGGATCTCTACATGCTATCAGAGGCACTCAAATTCCTAACCTTCAGAAAAATTAACTGAAGACTATTATACATATTTCAAAAGCTTAAATGAAATCACCAGGTAAAACTAAGTCTACCTAGTTGCTGGTGGCTCATGCCTATAATCCCAGCTACTCAAGAAGCTGAGATCTGAGGATCCTGGCTTGAAGCCAGCCTGAGCAGCAAAGTCTGTGAGACTCTTATCTCCAATTAACTACCAGAAAGTTGGAAATCGAACTGTGGCTCAAGTGGTAGAGCACTAGCCTTAAATAGAAAAACTCAGGTACAGTGTCCACGTTCTGAGTTCATGCCCCAGGCATGCATGCATGAGCGAGCAAGCGAGCAAGCGAGCAAGCAAGCAAGCAAGCAAGCAAGCAACCCACCCCCACCTGAATCTTCTAAGGGCTTTAAAACCCAGAACGCGGCTCTCTGTCAGGCATCAGCTCCACTCTTCAGGGTTACAGAAGTACAGCAAAGGCAAGGTGTGGGACCTCACCTCACCAGGAGGAGCCAGCCCTCTGGTAAGGTCCCCTCTACTGACCTGCAAAGTCACTAATAACTACATTGTCATATACTTGTGAGTGTGCCTGGTCATAAACCTTTAAGAAATATCTGTCATGGGCTGGGAAGATGGCTCAGTGGTAGAGTGCTTGCCTTGCATGCATGAGGCCCTGGGTTCGATTCCTCAGCACCACATAAGTGGCACTGTGGCTCAAGTGGTAGAGCACTAGCCTTGAGCTGAAGCGCTGAGGGACAGCGCCCAGGCCCAGAGTTCAGACCCCACGACCGGACCCAAAAAAAAAAAAAAAAAGAAATATCTGTCAGATGATGAGCTGACTAATAACAAAACCTAGTATTTGCCCCTCCAAAATGGAGGGGCTCAAAGAGCAAATATTCCTAAATGCAGAAATGAAACCAAGACACTCAAGGACTGCTACCACTGGGACCTCTGGAGACTAGGAAGGTGGGGAGGGGGGTAGCTAGTCTGCCTTCACCTGTAATCTGTAATTAGGGATAATGGCCAGGAAAAAAAAACCTTACATGCTGACTCACAGAAAAGGGTTCAGAACCAAAGCACCCCAAGCTTGACAGAATCCAACACTGTGTAAGTCACAGGTCAGGAATTATGTGAAGACAAAACACCAAGTAAGCAAAGTGGGCTGCGCCTGGGGACACACAAAGCCTTAAGCAAAACCTGCTCACCTTCATGGCACAGGGAAGCTACGGCACACATTAAGCACCGTGCCTTTGTAATGACAAACCTGTACTCATCTTAACTCTTAACTGTAGACACAGCTATAGAAGTCATGCCTCTAAGCTGGGAAGTGCTGTTACAGACCAGAGTGTTGGACAGGCAGGGACACCCAAGCTGGAGGAAGAGCAGGAATCAGGTTGAGCCCTTCTGCAGGACACTGTGGTCTGCTGTCAGGTTCTAGAGCATAGATTAATGATCAGGTTGGAACTGGCACTTGATTATGCTGAGGTTTTTCTTTCCCCAGAAGGGAGGATGTGCTCCTATTGGCCAGTTCTTCCTCCACTAATCCCCGCCCCCATCCCTGAGCTTGGTGTTCTGCCAGCTGCAGCTCTGCCCATTTTGACTGAACACCCTGTGCTGCTCTGCTGGAAAGGGTACTACACTGAAAGGCAAGCTGCAATCACATGCTGGTGGGCAGGCGAGCAGGCTCTGGACTACAGGGAAGGCCACCTCCACCTTGCTGGCAGGGCAGTTCAGTGTGGCCTAACCTTGTTTAACAGTGTGCATTGTGGACAAGGCAGGGCTCTCACACTTAAAAGGTAAAGCAAGCCAGGAACTGGTGGCTCACGCCTGTCATGCTAGCTACTCAGGAGGCTGAGATCTGAGGACTGCAGTTAGAAGCCAGCCTGGGCAGGAAAGTCCATGAGACTCTTATTATCTTCACCAAAAAGCCAGAAGTGGAGCTGTGGCTCAAGTGGTAGAGCACTAGCCCTGAGAAAAAAAAAGCACTAACAATCAGGGACAGCACCCAGACCCTGAATTCAAGCCCAGGACCAGCACCCAAAAAAAGAAGCTAATATCAGGAAGCAGCAAATGAAGGAAATTAGAGCACTGTTCTCTAGAACTGTTATCTGACATGGCTAATACTGAAAAACAAAATATATAATCAAACCTTCTGATTATAGCAGTCAGTCTAAATAAAAAGTGCTTCCCCTCTCTTTAGGAGTCAGCAGCAAACAGATTTTTTTGTTTAATTTTTGAGATAAGGTCTCTCTGTATAGCTCAGGGTGGCCTCAAACTCACAATCCTCAGTGGCCCAAGTACTGAAATTACAGCCCAAGTACTGAAATTACAGACACGAGCCACTGCACATTGTGTATTCCCCATGCAGAATACCCAATTATACTGTATGTTCATCCTGGAGACAAAGATGGCAGAAACAATCTTTACCTGGCTTAAGAAGAGTTAGTAAATAGAAACAACAAAATGGCATTTGTGGGGCTGGGAAGACAGTATAGTGGTATATTGCTTGCCTCACATGCATGAGGACCTGGGTTCGATTCCTCAATACCACATAAGCAGAAAAGGCCGGAAGTGGTGCTGTGATTCAAGTGGTAGAGCACTAGCCTTGAGCTGAAGAGCTGAGGGACAGCACCCAGGCCCAGAGTTTAGGCCCCACGACCAACAAAAAAAGTAAGTCTTCAAAATGGCACTTGTTAGAAGTTGTCTTTTTTTTTTTTTTTAACAGAAGGCCATTAATGGGTTGCCAATGTTCATGCCAGATCCTGTAAGGTTATTAGAGGTAGTGAAATTTGAAACCATCTCAGCTCTATTCTGATCAAAGATACAAAACTGGGAATGTGAATTCAAAGAATTTCAACTTGTCTTAGAAGACTCTGCTTCACACTTTAAAAGATCAGCGTGCGCACGCACACACACACAAAACAAAAACAAAAAGCAAAACTGAACTTAGAGAAAATGTCACAGGATCAGGAAACATCTCCAGACACACTCTCACAGTCCTGATGAAGGACAAGACCGCTTCTTTTTTATTCTTTTTTTTTTTCATGTGTGGGGGTGTACAGGGATTTGAACTCAAGACCTCACGCTGACTAGGCAAGTGATCTACTTTTTGGGCCATGGCTCCTGCCTTTTCTGCTTCAGATGTTTTCCCTCCTACTACCTCTCCTCCCTTCTCGCATCTTGCAATACTAGGGCTTGAACTCGTGGTTTTGCACTTGCTTAGGTAGATAGCTCTACTGCTTAAGTCACACATCTAAGCTCTTTTTGCTCTGCTTTTTTTCTTTTCTTATACTCAGGCTTGAATTCAGGGCCTATGCTGCTGTTGCTGAGTTTTTTGTTTAAGGCTAACAGTACCACTTGAGCCATAGCTCCACTTCTGGCTTTTTGGTGGTTAATTGGAGATAAGAGACTCATGGACTTTCCTGCCCAGTTTGGCTTTGAACCATGGGAACTTGGTTGTACTGATTGCTTCTGAGATAGCATCTCCCTTTTTCTCCAGCTAGCTTGGACCATGTTCTTCCTATGTACGCTACTTGTGTAATGGGGATAACAGGTGCACGCCAGCCACCGTGCCCACTATTGGCTAAGATAATGTCTCACAAGCCTTGTGCCCTGGCTGGCCTTCCATTCTTTTTTTTTTTTTT